CCCCCAGGAGACTCTGATTCTGAAGGTCCGGTAATCAGTGTCTTTAAGAACCCACACAGGTGTTTCTCAGGTCAGATTACATTCGAGAAGTCTAATGTTAGAAACATTCCTTTGGAATGAGTTTTGAATCGGCAAAGCACATATTCCGGGTGACCTTGCCATGCCCCTAGTTGGTCAGCCTGAAGGAAGAGCACTCTGGATGGCCACTGCTGACATGGTTACATCCCCTCTGCATAGATTTGAACATTTTGCTCCTGTCTGGAATGTTCTCATGTGTCTCGATACCTCAGTTAGATACACCTAATACATAACCCTTAGGTTGCATCTCCTGAGTTATGAACTCGAATTTTGGTTTAAACTTTTTGAGCAAGAACACAAGTTAGGGCATAGTGATAAGTAGGTGCTCAGCTCCCTGAGATTGAATGTGACACCTCGACCTGTGTGGCCATGGCCAGCTACTCAACCTCCCTCCTTCTCCACTTGCTAGTCCATAAAGTATGTAGACACTGTTAGTAGCTAACAGAGAACTCTGTGGGGAGTTGGGAACTGTTCTAAGTTCTTTATGTAAATGATCTCCCCTCATCCCCAAAGCAGCACTGTGAGATAATTCCACGTCTCTGATATTATCCCCAATGGGACCATGTAAACTGAGGCACAGGGATGTCAGTCACTTGCCCAAGATCTCACAGCAAGGAAGTGGCAAGTCAGTACCTTTTGAAAGCTTGTGGGAAGGAATAATTATGAAACTTCATGTGCCTTTCTGATTTTAATACAAATCCTTAAGGATGGCTAGCAGTGTCACTATTGGCACTTGGTGAATAGCAAAAATTGAAATAATACAAATATTTAATGAAGAGTTTCATAGCAGTTATACTACCACATAATCTGTAGTTTGGAGAAACAAACGTGGTTATTTGTGGGAGAGAATATCAGAAGTGGTGGGGCACATTTTCTGAAGAAGCGTTCGGCTCAGTGATGGAAAAAGGAGTAAATAGTGCCTCGAAAAGATTCCTGTTGCTGCTATTTTGTAAGATGTTCTCCAACGTTAGTATAGTCCCTAACTAGAACACAGGAGAATGACAAAAATATGGGCCACGAGACGGTGGCTGGATACAAAGGATGTCTGCCTGGGTTGGCACCTGGGCTAGCCTAGTGTTGACCTGGGCAGAGATGCCAGCCTGGGACTCAGGTATGTAACAAGAGAACTGGATCAAAGTCGCCCCTGAAATCCCTGCAGAGGGCCACAAGTAGCTATGATTCACCCTGAAATAGCAGCATCACCCAGTCAAGATGCAAGGAAACCTCACTTACCTTGAACCTCCACAGCCCTCCGATGTCTTCTGTCCTCTCAAAGCAAGTGGGCTCCAGCCCCTCGTCCACACAGCACTTCAGTGAGACCAGGCCACTGACCCCGGCTCCGATCACTGCCACCTTCTTTGCCATGTGTCCTGTCAAGGAGTTGACCGGTCATTACTGCTTAACACAGGTGAGAGAGTCCCTGTGGTGTGGTCGGGTAGCTGGATTTCAACAATCTCATGGTAACTCAGTAAGCAGCACTAATTGAATGAAACGCCTCGCCGGTCAAATCCTAGTCTCCTTTTCCCTTTGAGAGATGCTGAATTGTCTTGGACTCGCTTGCAGACCTTGTTTATGAGTCTCGGTCTAACATTAAAAACAACCCCTTTAACAAAGCCAAAGTATGCAGTAAGTCAGTGTGTGAGGTGAGCCAAGCTTGGTCGTGTCCCTCCGGGTCCTGAGCCCTTCCTTCTCTGCTCCTGGCTGTCATGCTTACCTTGTCTTTGAGCACTGCCCCTCTGAGAGCAGAGTTCTCCCATTGCATGTGAGCTGGAGACAGTCTTAAGAGGCAGAGGTGCTGTGGGAAGCGGGAGGAGCTTCCTGCTCCTCCCCCAGCATTCTGCCAGCTGAAGCTCCAAGGAGTCCTGGGGTTAAACAAGAGGCTCAGTGCTCCAGCCAGGTAGTGACCGAGGACCAAGACACATACTTGGCATGCCGAGCAGGTGGTTCAGAAGTTCATCTTATCATGGGTGTAACAAATGTGCACTGAGTTGATAAAAATGGATAAATAAAAATAAGTTAAAACCATCCCTAACCTAAGTACCCATTTTGATATGTTCTTCCACCTGCTTATATATATATATATACACACACACACAAAATGGGATGGCACTCCAAGTTTGATTTCCAACTTGGTCTTTTCACCACCAATAACCTTGAACATGTGGGTGCGTTGCTAATGGCGTGTGACTTCCATTTGGCTGATGGCCCAACCTCTCCTGACCGAGTCTCATTTCTGCACGTGAGGCACATTTTCTGGCACATCACTGTGCCTGGGTGGGGCAGAGAGATTATGTCCCTGATCTCCTGGAATTGACGTCCTTGTTCTGGCCTGGTTTTTAGACTTGGTGACTTCGGGGTCCCAGCATGCTGTGGTGGCCTGTGCCTTGCTTGCTTGCCGTGCTCAGACCCACATCTCACCCAGGTTTCTCTGGTTGGGTGAACGCTGCTTGCGTGAAGCTCCTGGGATTTCTAAGCTCTTCCCACCCACACCCTTCTTTTTGGCTTGATGGAGAACTGGATAACTTCCTTTTGCTTACACTCTCGGTTATTAGCATTAACATTAGAAAACTAAGGCAGGGGGTGGTAGAGCCTTCGGGTACCTCGGATGTGGTGGAAATGATGAAGCTAAGGGACTCCCCTCTGCAGCCCAGCAGGACCAGTGGCTCCAGGCACCTGAGCTGTTGGTATAAATTCCTTAGATAAATATCGACACTTCCTAGGTGCCAGTCACTGTCCAAGTGCTGCAGCTACAGCAAGGAACAAAAGGGCAAACCCCTGCCCCCCCCCTCCCCGTGGACCTTGCTTTCTAGTGGAGAGAGCAGCCACTGACAACATAATAAGCAGTAGGTGGAGAGGAAGCTGGGGAGAGGAAGAATGGAGAGGACGGGAGTGTAGAGTGTCCAGAGTGTCAGGGGATGGGAGTGTCGGGGGAAGGGTGGTTGATCAAGATGCATATGGAGTTCAGGGAGCCTTACTTCCCTGAAATCCCCTACACCAAATTCGGACACAGTGAGAGGCTTCCTGTGTCCAATGAATAGAGTAGCTCGATGACAAGGTGACGATAACAATGACCAAGACACGAAGGAGCTGGACACATTTCTTTAGTTAAAAAGAAAAACAATTAAGTTGCTTCATGGTCGATTGGGTCACAGAGTTTGTAAATGGCCCATGAACAATTCTCCAGTTATGTCCTGGCTGTCCCTCATCTGGTTGGTCATGACTCACGGAAGCCCTTCTGGCAATGAGTACGCCTTCTGCTCACACAGAGAAGAAGCACCTAGGTATGCCAGCAAGTGTGTAAGTGACACAAGTGGGACATGACAGAGGAAAGGCACTGTGTGAAGCCCTTCCAGACCTGGCCACACCACACAAGCCACGTGGAACAGCAGGAGGGGCACCAGCTGGGAAGCCTCCGTGCAGGCAGTGCTGTCTGGCAAGTGCTTCTCAGGCCAAGGGCTTTAAGTTGTAAAAATTGATGGTGTCCTTTGAAGCACAGAAGTTTTACTTTTGACAAAGTGTAATTGATAAAGTATGATTGATAAAGTGTAATTGATGAAGTGTAATTGATAAAGTATGATTGACTGTTGTTGTTTCTACTTTTTGACTGGCAGGAATAATGCTGCCACATGCATTCCCTGTAAGTTTTTGTGTGGACATAGTTTTCATTTCTCTTGGATATATACCTAAGCAGTGCATTTGCCAAGTCACGGGGTAATTCTGTGCTGAGCACTTTGAGGAGCTGCCGAACGCAGCGGTGCCATTTGACATCCCGGTGTATGACAGGCCCGGTTCTTCCTCATCCTCTCCAACCCTCGCCCCGTGTGCCTTTTTGGTTATAGCCAGCCTAGTAGATGTGAAGTGGAATGTCTTTGTGGTTTTGATTTGATTTTTTCCTAATGGCTTATCATGCTGACCATCTATTAATG